ACGGGGAGGTCAGACAGGCTGTCATATAGTCACAGTTAGGGTACGGGGAGGTCAGACAGGCTGTCATATAGTCACAGTCAAGGTACGGGGAGGTCAGATAGGCTGTCATATAGTCACAGTCGGGGTACAGGGAGATCAGACAGGCTGTCATGTAATCACAGTCAGGGTACGGGGAGGTCAGACAGGCTGTCATATAGTCACAGTCAGGGTACGGGGAGGTCAGACAGGCTGTCATATAGTCACAGTCAGGGTACGGGGAGGTCAGACAGGCTGTCATATAGTCACAGTCAGCGGACGGGGAGGTCACACAGGCTGTCATATAGTCACAGTCAGGGTACGGGGAGGTCAGACAGGCTGTCATATAGTCATAGTCAGGGTACGGGGAGGTCAGACAGGCTGTCATATAGTCACAGTCAGGGTACGGGGAGGTCAGACAGGCTGTCTGTCATATAGTCACAGTCAGCGGACGGGGAGGTCACACAGGCTGTCATATAGTCACAGTCAGGGTACGGGGAGGTCAGAAAGGCTGTCATATAGTCACAGTAAGGTTACGGGGGGGTCACACAGGCTGTCATATAGTCACAGTCAGCGGACGGGGAGGTCAGACAGGCTGTCATATAGTCACAGTCAGGGTACGGGGAGGTCAGACAGGCTGTCATATAGTCACAGTAAGGTTACGGGGAGGTCACACAGGCTGTCATATAGTCACAGTCAGGGTACGGGGAGGTCAGACAGGCTGTCATATAGTCACAGTCAGGGTACGGGGAGGTCACACAGGCTGTCATATAGTCACAGTCAGGGTACGGGGAGGTCAGACAGGCTGTCATATAGTCACAGTCAGGGTACGGGGAGGTCAGACAGGCTGTCATATAGTCACAGTCAGGGTACGGGGAGGTCACACAGGCTGTCATATAGTCACAGTCAGTACGGGGAGGTCAGACAGGCTGTCATATAGTCACAGTCAGGGTACGGGGAGGTCAGACAGGCTGTCATATAGTCACAGTCAGGGTACGGGGAGGTCAGACAGGCTGTCATATAGTCACAGTCAGGGTACGGGGAGGTCAGACAGGCTGTCATATAGTCACAGTCAGCGGACGGGGAGGTCAGACAGGCTGTCATATAGTCACAGTCAGGGTACGGGGAGGTCAGACAGGCTGTCATATAGTCACAGTCAGGGTACGGGGAGGGACAGGCTGTCATATAGTCACAGTCAGGGTACGGGGAGGCTGTCATATAGTCACAGTCAGGGTACGGGGAGGTCAGACAGGCTGTCATATAGTCACAGTCAGGGTACGGGGGGTCACACAGGCTGTCATATAGTCACAGTCAGCGGACGGGGAGGTCAGACAGGCTGTCATATAGTCACAGTCAGGGTACGGGGAGGTCAGACAGGCTGTCATATAGTCACAGTCAGGGTACGGGGAGGTCAGACAGGCTGTCATATAGTCACAGTCAGGGTACGGGGAGGTCAGACAGGCTGTCATATAGTCACAGTCAGGGTACAGGTAATCACAGTCAGGGTACGGGGAGGTCAGACAGGCTGTCATATAGTCACAGTCAGGGTACGGGGAGGTCAGACAGGCTGTCATATAGTCACAGTAAGGTTACGGGGAGGTCACACAGGCTGTCATATAGTCACAGTCAGAGCACAGGGAGGTCAGACAGGCTGTCATATAGTCACAGTCAGAGCACAGGGAGGTCACACAGGCTGTCATATAGTCACGGTCAGAGCACAGGGAGGTCACACAGGATGTCATATAGTCACAGTTAGGGTATGGGGAGGTCAGACAGACTGTCATATAGTCATAGTCACAGTACAGGGAGGTCACACAGGCTGTCATATAGTCACAGTCAGAGCACAGGGAGGTCACACATGATGTCATATAGTCACATTTAGGGTACGAGGAGGTCAGACAGACTGTCATATAGTCACAGTCAGGGTACGGGGGTGGAATTGGGACAGAGGCAGTCAAGATGCCAAAGTCAATGTACGACGGGGGTTGGGGTGGGGAGAAAGCGGCAATCAAGTAGCCAAAGCCAAGGTACTGGGGTAGGGGTATCAGAGAGCCACAATTAATATACAGAAAGGAGACAGGGGTTGTCCTGTGCCCATAGCAGTTCGTTCAAAGTGATGTGTAAGAGTATACACATGTACATAAATGCATTCGATCACGCACGTTTAGATAGTGCATATTTCACATTATAATACTCGGGACTTTTTTACGTCGCCAGAACACTGACGTTTCTCGGTGAGACGATACCCGAAAATGGGAGGAGTCAGACGGAAAATACTAATAGGGGTATAATAGTCCTGTCAATACTTATAGGAAAACCTGTCAATCAATACAGTCCAGTAATACTGACGTTAGGGGTATACGATACCCGAAATGGGAGGAGGTACGGAAAACCTCCATGTGATCAACTGAATTTATGATCACCATTCCATTTGATAGGGGTATAATAGTCCATCAATACTGATAGGGGTATAATAGTCCATCAATACTGATAGGGGTATAATAGTCCATCAATACTGATAGGGGTATAATAGTCCATCAATACTGATAGGGGTATAATAGTCCATCAATACTGATAGGGGTATAATAGTCCATCAATACTGATAGGGGTATAATAGTCCATCAATACTGATAGGGGTATAATAGTCCATCAATACTGATAGGGGTATAATAGTCCATCAATACTGATAGGGGTATCATAGTCCATCAATACTGATAGGGGTATAATAGTCCATCAATACTGATAGGGTATAATAGTCCATCAATACTGATAGGGGTATAATAGTCCATCAATACTGATAGGGGTATAATAGTCCATCAATACTGATAGGGGTATAATAGTCCATCAATACTGATAGGGGTATAATAGTCCAGCAATACTGATAGGGGTATAATGGTCCATTAATACTGGTAGGGGTATAATAGTCCATCAATACTGATAGGGGTATAATAGTCCATCAATACTGATAGGGGTATAATAGTCCATCAATACTGATAGGGGTATGATAGTCCATCAATACTGATAGAGGTAAAATACTCCATCAATACTGATAGGAGTATAATAGTCCATCAATACTGATAGGGGTATAATAGTCCATCAATACTGATAGGGGTATATTAGTCCAGCAATACTGATAGGGGTATAATAGTCCATCAATACTGATAGGGGTATAATAGTCCATCAATACTGATAGGGGTATAATAGTCCATCAATACTGATAGGGGTATAATAGTCCATCAATACTGATAGGGGTATAATAGTCCATCAATACAATACTGATAGGGGTATAATAGTCCATCAATACTGATAGGGGTATAATAGTCCATCAATACTGATAGGGGTATAATAGTCCATCAATACTGATAGGGGTATAATAGTCCATCAATACTGATAGGGGTATAATAGTCCAGCAATACTTATAGGGAGTATTGAACGGAATAGTCCATGCATACTGATAGGGTATAATAGTCCATCAATACTGATAGGGGTATAATAGTCCATCAATACTGATAGGGGTATAATAGTCCATCAATACTGATAGGGGTATAATAGTCCATCAATACTGATAGGGGTATAATAGTCCATCAATACTGATAGGGGTATAATAGTCCATCAATACTGATAGGGGTATAATAGTCCATCAATACTGATAGGGGTATAATAGTCCATCAATACTGATAGGGGTATAATAGTCCATCAATACTGATAGGGGTATAATAGTCCATCAATACTGATAGGGGTATAACTCTTACTTGTAGACGTAATTACAACGCCTTTCTGATTTCCCTTGTTACTGAAATATCAATGGACGATTCTCGCACATATCATACATGCGACAACAGTATTATTATTCCTAAAGTTACGTCCAACTTTCACTCTCTACCAAAAACTCATTATTGACGAGATAAAACAAAAAAACAAATTCAAAGCAGGTAGGATCATATCAGCCAGCTTTATGGTATTATCTATCATAGCAGGAAGAAAAAGATGAACGGCAACACTTCATTGCTTGGTTAATGTTATAAATCAGGTCTGAAGAATTATATCTAAACAATGACAAACTATTCAAGTAGGTCACCTGACATAATTCAAGACTGGTCTATTGTTATCTCAGCTTTAAAATAGCCCTTTTTCTTCAAGTGGCAGATTTAGAATAACTTGATAATTACTACCAAAAAGGAATCGTGGAACCCAGACAAAATCAACTGTCATGTTAAACTAATTTATTCTTGGTTACCACTTTTCGTGTTTTCATTCGGATCTAATATGGCAGATAATACTGGCCTAGGATCAGCCGGTATTTCGCAGAGAAGGCATTACCATCATCTTTCAGGTCGTCTCCACCATGTTTCATCATTATCAGAAAGAAAAATGGCGAGATTATCCTGACAGTATTGATATGGACTAGACAGTTGATGGCAATTGCTGCAGAGTATTGATAAGATAACCGTTCCGGTCTCGTTCGAAAAGCCTAGACTCAGGTTTACTTGCAACCTGCTTGATCTTTTTCGTAATTACCTATTTTTACAGTCAGGATACATCACTCGACTTCTCTTGTTTATGAACATCTTTTATCCCAGTTTGGTACCAATGCTTTCCGCGCCGCACGTTGTGAAGAACAGATAGTTCCCAGTTTCATGCAAGTTCAAGACAGTGTCTTATATTAATGAAGCAGTTTTGATACATAACGATAGTTACTAGAACACGTTTGTTCATCAAACGAATAGTCGGTACTGTCATGTTATTATGTCAAGACTCGTTTCATATTGTCAGATGTTGCCCGAAACAAAGGCTCTGTGACTTAAAAAAAAAAAATTTTTTTAGTCAAGTCGTCCAAAGCGAGATAACTCTAATTTGTTGAAGAGATATTAAATACAAACATCAAATATTTTTATGAAATGTATGTTGTGAACCAAATGGCCTCGTGATTGCAAATCACATCGTGTCATTTGCCAAGTAGATAAATTAGACAACAAAAGCAAAAGAAGGGTTTTCATATTTTATACAAGATACTCTGCGTTAAAAATATGACAATAAATATAGAAATCTTCACAGAAGAAACACAATCAACAAGTTATATAACAAACAGCACTAGCAGCGTTTTAAAACATTTGCCATTCATTAATAACGGTTAAAAAGTTTATGAATAAAATGATGTGAAGGTGATTGATGAATGAAAATTGAAAATGAAATGATAAATGAATTAATGTTAATATGATTAAACTGAACCATGAATCATCAACTCTTGCACCAAGGACGTCCCGCGTCCTTCCGTGGGGTCCTTAGAGCTTCCAGTCAATTGTGACATCACCAGAGTTAGTCCAAGAGTTGATGAAGTACATTATTCACCGTAGCATTGTCTATTCCATTCAGCGTTCAACACGTGCCACAGAAATGCTGCCTTACGAAGAAATCCAACAAATCAACACAATAGTTTGTTAGTGAAAAGTTAACTCACAATTTACTTCTTCGCTGCTGGTTTCTTAGCAGCTTTCTTCGCTGCTGGTTTCTTTGCTGCCTTCTTTGGAGATTTCTTTACTGTCTTGGGTTTAGCAGATTTCTTTGCTGGGGACTTTGCAGTCTTCTTTTTTGGTGTTTTCGGCTTCTTTGGCTTCTTGGCTGCTGGTTTTGTTTTCTTTTCTCCGGTTTTCTTTGTCTTTGTCACTTTCTTTACCTTTGGTTTGGTGGGCTTCTTTGCCTTTTTGGTTTTGGTTTTGGTCTTCTCCCCCGCGGCTAATTTGAAGCTTCCCTTCACCTGGACAAGGCTTTTGGAAGCTACTCCTTTCTTGATAGCCAACTTCACTCCGCTGGACAGCTTGTCTTCATTGACTTTGTAGTTGGCACTAATGTACTTTTTGATCTTTTGTCTGGATGAGCCTCCTCTCTCCTTCATTGCCGTAATAGCAGCTCGTACCATTTCACTGTATGTGGGATGAGTTGCTGGTTTCTTAGGCTTTGAGGCCTTCTTAACTTTAACTTTTGGAGTTGCAGCAGACATGATGGTTTGTTTGATTCACGTACGTTCACAGTGTACTGTACGAGAGAACTGTCATGTATGAGTTGTCGGCCGTTAACGCCTTGTTTATATAAACTTTGCTCGAACCTGGCCGAAGACACCACCTACAACATCGACTCCGAATCCTATGTTTTCGTGATAGAACGAGCTTTTGTGTTTCTTGACTATAAAAATCGATGTTTTGATAAGTAACCACCCTTCGTATCCAATTAAATCGACTTGTTTTCAAATATACACTAATGAAGCTTCATTTTCATATAAATATTTGTATATTTACCATTCAAATATTCCTAAATATACAAGAAAAAAGACGAAGTTTATGTTTTCATGCTCAGAAAGTCTAAGTTTAAACGTCTATTATTTTGATATGATGAAGTCTCATCATTAGCCGAACGTTTTTTACACTTTGAAAAGATGTCGAAATTTGGCAAATATAAATTAAACAGCGGTCCGACCTTTGCTACTTTGGTAGCGCTGGTTTTACCAAAGCGTAGGAAACACAACTTTGCCCGTTTCCGCCATTTTACGTAGTGTACCTAATGCTAAAGCTGTGGAAATTTTTTTTGGAACTTATGTTTCTAAATAAGATTTAACTTTATTAATCGGCCTATTTAAGAAAACTGGTGTCTTTAACACAAATATCGCCTTTAACCTCCATAATAAGACTTTATTAAGACAGAAAAAACAGCACAAACACACATGTAAACACAAGTTGGTCAGGACTGGTCTCGTCCGTGTAAACAACATACAACTCGTCACTGAGGTGGAATTATTCCCTTCAAAGCAAATATTTAATTATCTTTATCTATCAAATATCAATTGTGTATGTTTTCTGGCAATAAGTGTTAGTTTTTGATAATATAGAAGCGAATTTAAATAAAATTGTGGGATTTATTCAATATTTCTGGGGAATGAAATGGAGTGGACCAGGGCTATATTTAGAATCAATGTTGAAGGAGTTCTACAATTTGTTAATGTAACCAATTTCTCATACAATTAGTACCAGTTTAGATTTCAGATATTGAAATGACAGTTTTGAAACGATATTATCTGGAGAAAAAAAATATGAACACACCTTTTAACCTTCATATAAAGTTTTATTTTAACAAAGAACAATCAAGAGCGAGGACAGTCTCCCATGGATAATTTTGACATTTCGTAAACAAATATGTACAAGTATCTGATACTTTCTTATCAAAAGCGCAAAGTTTAGTAACATTTGTATATACATCACTTTATCCATGACTGCAGTAAAATAATTTTGTTTCCTGATACATGACTATCATTCAAATTAACCCTGTCAATTGTTTTAATCAAATGTATTTCCTTCCTCACTACTTATAGGTAAAATCATAAAGTTAGAAATTGTCGTTTATCAATTTGTTTTCAATAATTATCCTTTTTTATATACAGTTTTGTTCATATTTTGAAAAAGAAATAAAATTTATCGTCTTCTACAGCAACACGAAACATTTTTAATCAGAAATCGTTGTTAGATTCGTATCTGTACCAAATCAAGGTGATTTTAAAGTTGTTTTGTGTTGATTCTGAATTTCATTTTTATTGAAACTCGTAAATGTTTGTTTTGATTAAGGATTAAATCATAAATATAAAAAATATCAGTGTACTAAGGATGCGTCTTATACTGAGTGACGTGACTTTACCCACTGTTCAATGGAAATTTCATTGGGGTCGCTTGCACTAAACTCTCTACTTACTGGAAGGACACATCGAAAATATTTATAAGGATGTTTGAAATTAAAAACTCTACTCGATGAAAGGTTAATAAACTATATCCTCGGGTTTCGGAATTAATATCCTCTACTGAGTGAAAATTAACAAGGGTCTCGGGAGCTATACTCTCTACTCATAGGAAAATTGACAAGGGTCTTGGATACTATACCCTCTACTCACAGGAAAATTGATTAGGGTCTTGGATACTATACCCTCTACTCACAGGAAAATTGACAAGGGTCTTGGATACTATACTCTCTACTCACAGGAAAATTGATTAGGGTCTCGGAATTTATACCCTCTACTCAACTGAAATATCCATCAAAATGCATTATCAGGACTGCGGAAACTATAACCTCTGCTCAGTGGAAATTTGGTCAGGGTTTAGGAAACTTACCCTCTACTTACTGGAAATATCTATTAAGAAAAGTTTGACCATAGTCTGTGAAACTATACCCTCTACTCACGTCTCATTGGAAGTAGCGGGAAGGGCTATAAAGGCTACAGATATTGGGTTAGACGTCTGATATTGGGGAATGTTTTCTTAATATTGATAATCTTTTCGTAACCCTCCCTCATCCACCTCCACGCCTACCCCGCCCCTCCACACACACACACACACACACACACACACACACACACACACACACACAATTTTGAAAGCATTCTTTTGAAAAAAAATCTGATCCTCAAGAAGCGTGCTTAATTTAACAAAATCTGAATGCGGTGAATAAAGGCAGAGTTGATAATCTGAAACAATGACGAAATAAGTTGAGAATTGATGGTGTTATAGACATTTATATTTAAATGATATCTTGTATTTTGTAACCAGCAGAATTTTGACCTCTATAAGAATGACGCACCTTTCTATCATGTTACTGGGACCTACCTACAATCTGAACTAATAATTCATTAAGATATCATTCAAACAAGCAATGAAGGATGTATAACGGTCTATAGGCCAAAATTTCTATAATCTAACTTTTATTCTATTTTGAACTTTCGAAGGATAAGTTGATAGAAAGTATTACATATGGGAAAAAAAATACATGTTGCTGAATTTCTTTTACCGCTACAGGTGTCAGCATATGCGTGATAGGAAATATTTCTTTCTTTCTTTTGTTAATGGTAGGCATTCTTTGTTATTTTCGGGTCGATCTTTTACCAGCAATTTTCCTTTTTTCGTTTCAATTCAATAGAAATGTAATTAGAAAATTATGAAAATAGGAATTGGAAAATTGCAATTCTTTATTTTTTGTTACGCGCTCAAAACTGCAAATTAACCGAAAAATTCAAACTTTGAAAAAAAAAAACCCAAAAAACAAAAACAACAAACAAACAAAATAAAAAAACAAAAACAACAACAAACAAACAATCGAACAAAAGCAAAAATACTTATAGACTAGATTTGACATCTGACTTTTTAAAACACTTCATGCTTTGATAGAAAAATAACTGAGGATCATTTTCATAATAAAAAACAGGGAGTTGCTGCGCTAAATTTTCGCAGTTTTCACCAAAATATCCATTTATAACAAAGTTAAACTTTTGTTTTCGAGTCCTAAAATCAATAACAGTGATTTACTAAATTAAGCTAATTCACTTACTTCACAATTGTGATTTTTGAAAATAATTAATGAAAAATTTGATTGAATATTACACAAGACTCCCAGAGTTATACACAAGATGAATACACAAGTAATGGAAATATGTGGAAATTGTTTGAACCAAAGACCGGCGCATCGTGTTTACCTCGTCTACACAAAATTTATAAATCCAAACATTCTATGAAGTGTCATATCAATCGTCTAACTTTTGAATACAGGTACATGTACAACTACAGATAACAATTTTTATACGAAATCGCAAAAGTCTGGGATACTGTGTTATTATCTATTTCATGATAAATTATGTCCTGCATGGAGGTCAAACATGCCTTTCATTAATCCTTTAACGAACAAATAAATACATAGACATGATAAATAATAACAAACTAGTAAACAAACTAACAACAACGAATATCAATCAAACTAAATAAAATACAAATATTGCACAAAATACATACAAGTGAGTAACACATTTTAATTGTTTAATTAGATACAGTAGAGCCAAACAATGAATTCAACTGCATCTCTTTGTCCTTCTAAGACTCGTCGGTGATACTAAGGGTCCAAAGCCTAAGAGAAGAGACGAAAGGGAAATTCCAAAGTGATTGAAAGAAAAGTAAAAATCTAGACGGGCCCATAATCAAATAAATTTCGCACTTTTCATATATCTGATAATTTTAGAATAGCGTCAAGTACATGTTTATATTCTGAACTAGGCCACTATTCGAATGAATAAAACGAGGCATACAGGTTACGGCAAACGAGTAAACATACAAAAAACAAAAACAAAAAAACTTGAAAGAGACAAAAACAAGCTTATCAGTTAAACAATGACGTGAAATTTCTAGGTCCACAACAGGTCCAATATCTTATTGTAATTTGTAAAGTTGCTGAAAATAACAGAAAATGTGTGAAACGTTATATGTTCTTGTTTCCAATGCGCTCTGCGTAATTTACTCATAAGCCAGTGAAGGCACACACGTGCGTACATTGTTGGTGTGCGCAGCGCAAGCTTATACACGCGGATTACGCACTTACTCGTTAATGTGCATACTCGGTAGTATGATGGTATATACACTTAAAACGCATTTCCTTCAAAAGCAATTATTATTTCATGTAAAATATTAATAATGTATCAGGTACGAGGATATACCAAACCTACGTTACTAGTCTAGTATTTGACCTAATCCATTATTGACCACAATAAACATAATGTAAAATGTCAAATACGACACTCGGCAAGTACAGAGCACATTTGATTGAGTGCAATTCATTAGAATGTGCCGAAACTAAGTGGAGTCACGTGAGTTTCATTACAGGAACTCTATATCGAGGTCTGATGTCTGTATTTTAAGTAACCTATTTCCAATAATGAATTAATTGCGTTCTTCTCCGTCATTGAGAAGCGTTGTGTGCTGGTGCGATACACATGACTGACAATGTCATTTTTTATCGCCCGTCCTTTAGCTCATGTTTCGTTATAATATGCTATTTATAGTGCATGTAGGAGTACCTCATAATTTCTTTTCATTCAGTAAATGTTACATTGTAATTTTAATTCCAGGATTGGCGTCCGATAGACTCCCGATCAATATATATAGTATATTGTCCTGTGTTGCTGCTAACATTGAAGATGGGAAACTAAGGATGAAGCAACCACAATCACCTCAAACACAAGTA